CGCAGCACGGCTGACAGTCTATATTTACAGTAATTCTTTTGTGCCGTTTTCCTTTACGACTCATATGATCAAAACAAACACTAAGTCATTTTGTTTCAGCTAGTCTTAGGGATGACGCAGTGCGGATGGTATAATACTTTTGCAGGGTTATATTTTATAGTATGTTTATCATATGTTACTGGTATATGGGGTGATTATACGTTTATAGTGCCTAATCTCTGCAGTAAATGCGATTAAAATGTTAAGCCATTGTTAGACTTAACTGCTTTGCTAGATAGCCCTGTTTTGCTACTTGCTACAAAAGTGTTTTTCTTTTATAAAATTAAAATAAAGTATAACTGAAATTATTTACTTTGTCTTTTATTTTGGCAATCCTCAAATTATATTGTTTTTTCATCCATAAGTTTATACTCCCCATAAACTGAAAACAATGTTTCCTACTTTTCGATTTATCTTATTTGATTTGTTTAGTGGCTTTTGGGTATAACGCTTTTTTGAACAGAACTAAACGTAGTTTGAAAATTTTGAAAGAAATATCATTTGCATCAGTTAAAACCCTTTGTATATTATATCTGGAGTTAGAATGTTTCATCCATATGAATTACGCACTGTGATGTAAAAACTTATCTAATGATCCATTACAATTTTTTTATTTTTTTATTTGCCAATAATAAATGTTAGCAATGGTTATTTTGACCACTTAACTCAAAAATAATAACTTAAATTTCCCCCGAGTAATTGCACAGCCCTAGTTTGTTGTTTTCCTGATTAAAATTATTGTAATCATCGAGTGAAACAAAAAATGTCTGGGCGTGTAACCTGGAGCCGCAAGGTCACCAAAGCTTATCTCACTGATAAGGAGCAGTGATAAGATGACGACCTTGTGGTCACGTGATTGACCGGTTGAAGTTGATATTTACGTATTTTCATAACACGAAAGATCGATTTAACAAGACAAAATTTAATCAGAAACTAGCCCACCTAGTAATTCTACAAACAAGTCAACTTTAGTTTATGTAATTAGAGACCGTATAATTTTCTATTTACAAATTTCTGTTAACGAAGAAAGAGTTTTGCTCTCTTGATTTTCAGTGGTTTTATAGGAAAAAATTAGCAAATCAAATAAAATAAAAGTCAGATGTCACTCGCTCAATTGGACACTTGGTATATACAATATTTATAACTAGACCTACAGTTGAATGAAACTTTACTGTTATGCTGGCATTACAATTGTCTTCTTAAAAAATCAATTGAATAACCTAGAATTAATCCATCAATAGTATTTTTAATTTTAAGGGAACATACGTACATTAACTTTAATATTTAATATAACCGCAAACTTTTTAGCTGAATATTTTAATTGACCAAGACTAAGTCTGCTGAATGATTGATACTCCTAAGAACAATAAATTAGGTATTTGATTTAATTTAATTATTAAAGTTCAGCGGTATCAGGTTTAGAGGAAGAATCGTTTATCCCTCTCAATTTTCGACGGTTTTCATTTAGGCTAAATAAAACAAAATACCCCCGCCGCAGCAAACCTGCCGACTAAGCGAATTTCCATTTGTCTGAATTGATTTTCAGTTAAATATATTTTAATAACATTAGGTTTAACGAGTACCTAGGTTTGCTGCTACAAGGAAACTAATAAAGTGTGTTTTTGAGTAAAATATTGATAGCTTAGTACAAAATAAATAAATTTGCCAAGTTTGATCAAAATATATCCATAAACAAGCAAACTACAACTTTTGACAATATTCTCCATAAGAATAACATGGGAATTTTAAATTTACATTTTTTTTTAATTTTCTCCGTTACTAATAATTGAACAAAAATACTTTTATATACTAAATTATTTGTTTTTTTAAGCTCTTTAAAAAGGTGTAAAGAGAAATCAGGAAATTTTGTGTTTTGAGGGTCAAAAGTGAGAAAAACCAATTTTTACCCCATAAAACCCCCCGTAAAGCCCTGTTCCCATGGTCCGATCGTGCTGGTTCGCGAACTCATTCAAGTTTATCCCGCTTTACACCTTTAAACCAAATTTCATCAAAATCGGACAAAAATTACTCAAGTTATCGCGTTCACGGACGTATATATATATATATATATATATAAGTCTATATATATATATATATATATATATACATATATAAAAATTTGAACGAATGGTGTTTTTGGCCTCTGGGGACATCAAAATGAAAAAGTAAATCGGTCCCGGGTCTAGGTCTTACCGTGCCACCTACGGTAATAGCTACTTCCCTATAGGGAAATTCGCTAAAACACACTAACAGTTGTTACTTACAGTTGTACTTACTGTTTGTTGTAAGTTACAAGTTACTACTATAACTACTACAACTATTACCATTGACTATCGATAGAACACTTTATCTAAAAGTCAATGGCCGCACATATCATAGAATGGCGAATTAAGTTATTACAATTACTCTGTAGACAGAATTGGATTGTACCTATCTGCAATGTAAAATTTTTTAAGTGAAATTGTGAAGTCTTCGATGTACAACGAAGTTCAATGAAAAAGAATTAAGAAGGAGTATCAACGCTAAAAATCTCTATAGTATATTGATATAATTGCAATATTAACGTTGTTAAAGCATAGCAGTACAAATCAACTGCTCTTGATATTAGGTTAAATTTAGTATTATTTTCGTTAATCTAACTATCCCTGTTTTGAGGTAGGATTATTGATTGTTGACTTTATGCTCGGAATGACACAATGTCACACTGGAGACAAGGCTTGTCTTTTCATAGACAGCGATGACGTCACCGGAATACGTAAGGCTTCCCTAGATTGTTTAGTTGACATCCTCACCCACCACTGACACGCTGAACAGTGAACACAGCTGTCTATTCATGCTAGAACCTTGTCGAAGCTTCTGTCCCTGGGTACCTACATTCAAATCTTGCCAAACACAAACGACTTTTCACTATGTGATAATTCAGAATTTTTTTGGCTCAGAACTCTCCTACGCCCAAGATGCACTCATCTAAAAGTAGAAAAGAGTAGGCCAGGCATTTAAAAAATGTTTGGCCAATAATTAACTTGAATAAAAGAGGCCATACGGTGGTTAAATTTTTCCCCGAAAAATGTTGAAAAGTATGCAATTATGAGTTGGATTACATAATCAATTACTGTAATATGCCTATGCATTAGCATTAAAAATATTATGTTAAAAAATACTCCCACATTTATGTAAATATTTTTTTTATGCCATCATTATTGGTAGCTTTTGTCTAGTTGTCATAAATGTTTGTGCAAAGTTTCCATTTTCGAATGTTTAACCATTCTTAAAAAAATATTAATAATTGAAAAATTAAAATGGCGGCAGTGTGAGTAAATAAGGACTTCTGGACAATTTAATAAGGTATTTATTGTAGATATGTTTCTTACTCATGAACAATGCTCTGAAATTTTGGTAGGAAGTTCCGGGACACCCTGTAGAGTGGGTTATATATATATATTATTCAGAGTTTCCCATAAGTAAAGTGAAACTTGGTAAATGATATATTATTTATTGAATATAATATATTAGATACCAGTTATTATATTATATATTAGTGTATTAACCTTAGTGAATATAAATCGAATGTTAAACATATATTGGATATTTGATGTTCTAAATTAGTAGTTATATATTAGGGGCTATTATCATTTGTATTTTCGATATAGAATATTGGATACTAGAATAATATAGTAATATTACATCATTACAGCTATCTACAACAACATAGTATTATGGGGTTCCATTTTGTAGTCCAGTTTAAACTGAATTAAATATTCAAAACTCATTTCTCGCTGCTTTATGTTCCTTGAAAGTGCTTGCCGTTGTGAAGGACCACAAAAGAAATATTTTAAATAGCTAAAAAAAACGGGGTTTTGCCAAACACTACTCTACCTAATTTATTTGAGAGATAATAGGGATCCGAGTAATTATTAAACTGCTTTTAAGGTTTAACAAATATAATCAAAATTAGTTAAATAATGTATGATTACAACCGTTAACAACGTCGTATTAATTTGTTTGTAAATATAAAAAACTGGTTTATTACCCATAAACTAAATTTGTAATTTAAGATTATTTCTGTTGTCTGAGGATGAAGAGCAGTCCTTGAACTTTCAAAAGTGGTCCTGTCTGAAATATTTACAAAAATACTGCATTGACATTCAGCTTAAAATAAAAATGTATTTAAAATATTAATGATTATAAATAATCTTATTAGGCACAATGACAATAAGTACTGTAATTATAATACTTAAGCAAACGCATTAAAATCAAAATCTAATAAAATATGCAAAAGTGAGTTCTTTCAACAACATTTAGCAAATTTAATCGACACGGCTAATTGAAATTTACCATTGTATCAATACCATGACGTTTACTTTTAAAAATTTCGGGTCAGCATTTAAATAAATCGGTTGCGAAGACTAAGATATTGTTAGGCAAGTCTTTTGACTATACAGTATGCGACAAATTAGGCCTAATCTCATATTCAACTTTTAAAAGTTATACTTTAAACAAATATCATAGTATAAATCAAATATGAATTCCAATTGAAAATATTTAAATATTTTTTTTCCATCAAATAAGGCGTAATTATATTTTTCTAACTATTTCATGTTCTTGGAAATATTTTATGTTTCCAAATTAAATTAATTTTGAAGCAACAGACTTTAAATTTATCAAAATTTTTTGTAGAAACCAAATAGACACACGAGATCTTTGCTGGTTCCAGGATTGATTATAGAAGTTACAGATTTTTTACTACCCCTTTAATTTTCGTATTAGGTTACTGTATTTGCAGTTCAACCGTTGTAGATTAATTATTACCTACTACAGAAACGTACAATACAATTTATGTACTACATTCTCCGCCACGCTTGTATGCGTATTGCGTATTGCGTGTAGTCGCAAGCTGTCCCGGCCGTCATCGATCTTTGGTCGGCGATGTGGCAATGTTGGCAGTACCGGCCGCCGCCGCCGCGCCGCAGTGACTCCGCGTCGCCTGTCTTCAGATGCGTCGCGGTTAGTTTCCCATCGATATGTCTGTATTATTCACGCCACAGACCTGTCAGAGACTATGATTGTTGCACAGCTGTTGAGTTCCAGCTGACATGTGTGGGTGCCGGCGGCTGGGGAAGTCAGTTCGACGCGGGTGTCCGTGGCATAGTGTTGTGCGTCATCTCCGGTCGTGATAACATTATCAACATGGCTGTTTTGGGTGAGTAGAAATTCACTAGTATTGTCTTTCCAGTGTGTAACACACAGTGATATTCGTTAGTAGATTTTTAACCGGTGACAAAAAAAATTGAAAAATATCCACACGATGTGTTCCGATAAAGGAAAACGATCGATTTCAGCAACAATTAATAATTAAATATCTATATATTATTTGTACGTTTCCCCTCACATCTTATCCATATTCACGCTCACACTCACGCGCATGTCCGTCGACCGTGAGGGTTAACACGGAACGCATTGAACCGTTCAACCCCGCCTGACATTACAGACAAGGTTTTTGAGTTGCTAGATTGAATCGCGTAACCAATACCATTCCCTGCTGTACGTGTCTAGTTTGGTAATGGCTTCCAAACATGCAAATCACTCTCTAATAGAGCTGTGTCAATATTAGTTGACATTCTCAGTACTGTAGCACGTGTTTGTGTAAGCGCTCTAGCGGTTGGCATTTCGCTTACGCTAGCGAATAGCAAAACTATCTTGTAGGCCTATAGCGTAATTTGTAAGCTGAATAATATCACCGAATCATTAAGATTCACGTGTAAAAATAATTTATACTGAGAATTGTAGGCTACTTGATTTGGAGTGTATTTTAGATCTTAAAATAATAGTTGATGAATATAATTAGAGAAAACTGGATGATTTACATAGGCCTAAGTTATTTTCACCTAATCCAACTAATTCAATAGTTTCCGATGCACTGATTTGTTATACGCTATTATTATAAGTAGCCTAAATCTAATTGTATTTTGCAACATATTAATTACGGTACGTAGTACATTAAATGTTTGTGGTAATCTAATTCGTAATTGGATCCTTGAATGAAAAGAGATAAATATTTTGTAAACATTGTAAACAAACTTTCGGTAAAATTTCCAGCCAAAACTGCCTTGTCATCACTTTTGTCTATTTTTGACGTTTTATTTCATAATTTTCCAAATAGTTTGTTCTTAAGTAAAATGCTGATTTGAATAAATAAACAACATGGTACTGTAAAAGGGAAAATATATTTGGGTGGAAACTTCCCCGTATAATTAATAATCCACGATAACTAAACTAGGACATGTTTTGTCAGTGACAACGTATAATTTATATGTAAATCATATACATTTGCTGTCTGCCTGTCCTTCCATTACGATACTGGACCAATTAAGTTAACATTTTGCACATATTTAGCCACTGTACCGAGAAGTGTCTAAATAAATTGCCTTTGATATTTTTTTGACAAGTCAACGCTTTTTAATAAGACTTTTGGAAGTGTATATTTATTGGTAAGAAGCAATATTTGATTTGTTTCATCGTCGTATACTATATGTACTTATTTTTATTTAATAATTAAACTCTGATACGTCTAAAAAAATAGAATGATGCTATATTCTAAAGGTAAAACTTCTAGAAATAAAAGTTCAATATTCATAAGACAAAATAAAATTCAAATTAAAATACTTTTAGTTGCAATATTAAAAGAAGCAGGAAAACATAAACATAAATAAAAATATTATTGATGGCAGTAATAATTTAGCAATAGGCCCTACACAATTAAATATCAATCATATGATTAAGTAAAGTAATTTACTAAGACACGTCAATGATCATATGTTCTGCTATGTTTTCCACAGCTGTTTTAGGCCCAAATTGTTCTCTTGCGTCATCATCTCTTTGCGAAGAACTTGCAATGCTTTAGGCGCATTAAAACTACATAAAAATCACATTCAAAGTACTGTAGCTTTGAAAACAGCTTATGTGAATTGTCATGTGCATTTTTAGCTAAATCGAGTTATGTGATTATGATATTTATTGGTACATTTTAATGTTTGAGGCATTTAAACGTTTTAGTATTGCTATATTTGCTATCATACCACTAAAATGTAAATTTCCCCAATAAATAATAGTAGTTGCTTACTGGATCAGAAAACAACAATAAAAGTCAGTAGAAGACTGCTCAATATATTACAACCATGTCAATGAATTTTCATGTTTTGATTCCGTGTTTATAACATTAAAACCTGTATGTGGTTAAGAACATTTCAGATCTCTATCATCAAGAATGCTGTTTATCATATGAACTTGATTTGATTTAGTTCAAACGAAAACAAAAAAATCAGAAATTTTTGGAAATTGTAAACACTTATTGTTGGAGCTTGCATGATACCTACGAATAAAGAATTAATCGTAATTCGTAATTTCTTAAATAATGCCATAGTGAAAGGGTAAAAACATAATAAAAGTAAAATGGTACCCCTTTCGCAGCAAACCTGCAGACTAAGCGAATTTCAACTTGTTTGATTACATGTTTACAAAAATATTTCCATAAATAAGACATATTTATTCCGAATTTAAAAACATTAGATTTGACGAGTGCTTAGGTTTGCTGCTACGAGGAAGGTAAAAAGTATTTTTTGGCCAAACGTCAATACTATATGATGAAATAAATAAATTTGCTAAATTTTATCAACATATTTAAGTTTAACGAGTACCTAGGTTTGCTGCTACAAGGAAACTAATAAGTGATTAAAAACATATTAATAGCTTAGTATAAAATAAATAAATTTGCCAAGTTTGATCAAAATATATCCATAAACAAGCAAACTACAACATTTTACAATATTCTCCATACGAATAACATTGAAATTATAAATTTACAATTTTTGAATTTTCTCCGTTACCAATAACCGTACAAAAATACTTTGGTACACTAAATTATTTGTTTGTTTTTTAAGCTCTTTAAAAAGGTATTTAGAGAAATTGGGAAATTTTGTGTTTTTTTGGTCAAAAATGAGAAAAAACCCATTTTTACCCCATAAAACCCCCCGTAAAACCCCGTTCCCATGGTCCGATCATGCTGGTTCACGAACTTGTTCGAATAAATGTAAGTTTACATGATTATACCAAATTTCATCAACATCTGAACATTTTTCCTCGAGTTATCGTTCATTGTTAGGAACATAAATAAAAAAAATAATATAGCCTATATATTAATTTGAACGGACGGTATATTTGGCCTCTGGGGGGCCTCAAAACGAAAAAGTAAATCGGCCCCGGGTCCAAGACTTACCATGAGACCTACGGTAACAGCTCTTTCCCTAAGGGAAATTCGCTAAAAACAGCATAATGAAAATATGGTAGGTACTGTAATAGAAGAGGAAATGGTAAAACGTCACGTTAATAATGATTACTTAATAAAAGTGAAGGAATAAATGTTATCCATCTCTATAAAAAATCAGAATCGAAGTATTTTGTTTTAAACAAGTTATAAAACAACTTACAACTTAAACTTACTTTTTAGTAGTTACTAAACAACTTACGTTTTATTTTTATATTGGATTTAGTTGCAAAGTACACCGGTACCAAACCTTAAATGTGTTTTTGAGAGAGTTTCTAATCTGTTTACAATCTATATATTAATTTGAAACTGTTTTTCTTTGTGACAGCTAATTTGAGAGAACGGCTGGGCGTAGAAACTCGGTAGGGGTCTCTAAAGAAAGGTCTTGGTCTGTAGATGAGCCATCAAAAGAGAAACGTGGTAAATTCCCTTGGGGCTCTGCCCCAGTCGCCTTTAAATTCCCATCCCATGTTATTCTTATGGAGGAAAAACTGGTTTTTGTCACAGCTAATTTCAGAGAACGGCTGGGCGTAGAAACTTGGTAGGGGTCTCTAAAGAAGGTCCTGGTCTGTAGATGAGCTATCTAAAGAGAAACGAGGTAAATTCCCTTGGGGCTCTGCCCCAGAGGCCTTTGAAGTTCCCTCTTCAGATTTGTTTACAATCTATATATTAATTTGAAACTGTTTTTCTTTGTGACAGCTAATTTGAGAGAACGGCTGGGCGTAGTTGTCGATGAGCCATCAAAAGAGAAACGTGGTAAATTCCCTTGGGGCTCTGCCCCAGTCGCCTTTAAATTCCCATCCCATGTTATTCTTATGGAGGAAAAACTGGTTTTTGTCACAGCTAATTTCAGAGAACGGCTGGGCGTAGAAACTTGGTAGGGGTCTCTAAAGAAGGTCTTGGTCTGTAGATGAGCTATCTAAAGAGAAACGAGGTAAATTCCCTTGGGGCTCTGCCCCAGAGGCCCTTGAAGTTCCCTCTTCAGATTTGTTTACATTACGGCCATATGCATAAATTATCACTACTCTCTAATGAAACAGCTGTTAATATTTAAATTGTGATTTACTAAATCTGTCAAAATGAAGTATTTGCAATGATTTTTTCAGATTTTAAAATTGATTTTCTTTTGCATCGTGTCATGTTTTGCAATACTGTATAATGTTCTATTACCAAATCAGTGGAATATATCTCAGTAACTCTTAAGATTATTTCTTATGAAGTTAACTTATATCTATTGTATTTTGGTTTTGGTTTCTACATTTTTTACCACTTGGAGATTGTACTTAGGCGTGTTGTACGTAGACGATATTCTTTGGCGTATTGTATCTGTAGACGATACTTGGGTTGGTGTAATTATTACAATGGGAGAAAGCGAGAAATTCTGGACAATTTATACTCAAAATAAAATAGAATTAACACTGTATTACATTTCTTGAGCAATCATTGAAAGAGCCGATTTGCAAACAATGGAAATAGTAAAGTCATAGAACACAACCAAGTAGAAGAAATAAAAATAAAGTTTTTTTTCATTTATAATCGTTATTACAGACAACCTAATGCGGGCTATGCGGCTATGAATGGGAAACATTTGTAGAAAACACTAAAAAACAATATCAACTTTTGAAAAAAGATAAGATATTTACAAACAAATTTGATTATGTCTAACTGTACACATCGCGTGAGTTTTAATGAATATTGAATATTGAATTGAATACAGAAAAATCCATATTCTTCGAGTCCACTCTTATAAAGTCATCGGAAATTATGACTGTTATTCGTTTTAAAATAACGCCTGTAATGCTTCACAATTGCTCGAATTCGAGCAACAGGTACACTAGTCTACTTTAATTACAAATTACAACTGAATATTCGCCGGATAT